CCCGGAGGTCCGCATAAAATCGGTTCTTTAACACGGAACACGTCGCGACGAGCGTCGCGCTACGCCAGTGACCTTAATAACTCCGCTACGTTCCTCGCGTACCTCGGTTATGACGATAGACAACGTCTGCCGACTCTAGCAGCCAGTGCGCATCGAATATCCCACGTAGGCTGCTGCCCCCCCCCCCCTCCCCGCGCAGCCGTCACCGATCGTCGGCCGCGGAGCCCGCATTCGCTCTCTCGCTCGCTCGCTCGCGCCGCGCATCGCCTCGCGCGCACCCGTCCCTTTCCCTCTTTCCCTTTTACACGCGGCATCTATCTCCGGATCTTTCCTCCTCGTGTCGCTCCGTCTCTACAAGTATATACACCTTACGGTCGTTCACACGGGCCCGGCCAATGGAATGCACGTTGCCGGCGTGTGTACACACACGGGCGGGCGGGCGCGCGCGCGCTCACTCGTTCGCTCGCTCGCTCGCTCGCACTCTCGCCTCCGTGCCGAGGAACCGTTAATGAACGTTGCAGTTCTCTTAGACCGCCCGTGCGCGTACCGGGGTGCCGGCCGGGGATTCGTCGCCGCGGACGGCCAAGAGGAACGGGACAGGACGCGGAGAGAGAGAGAAAGAGAGAGGCGAGTGCGAGGGCCGCGCGGCGCGGACGGGCCAACCGAAAACCTTCCTGCCGATATATTCTTCCCGCGGCCGCCGATTCGGGAGAAAAGAGCGCGAGCGTGCACGCGCGGACCCCGGGCGGCGCTCTCCGTTCGCCGGGAATACAAATCGCGACTCCGGCGGTCCGCCGACGTGAAATTTCAACATTTCGCGTCGGTCATTTGAATACGCGCTCGTGGAGAAGGGCCGCCGAGCAGCCTATACGTATGTACTCGGAATCCCGGTTTTTCGAGAGACGATCGCGTCGAGAACGACGACTAGCCTCGGAACGCGACGAGCACGCCGAATTTCTTAATTGACGGATTTTCCAAGATTTTGGGGAAGGCTCGTAAAAAGCAAAGTAAGAATATTTACAAAGATTCTAAAGGAAGCATATCACGAGGTAAAAAGAGAATAAAGTAATGTTAAATTTTGTTCAAATATTTGTTCAATAATCGTACGAATAACATAAATATATGACAGTATGCAAAAGAGAAAAATCGATTATCTTTTTATAAACAATATTTTCACGTAAGAAAAATTATCGTTTGATCGATATTGCACTTTCTATTGTTTGTAACAAAATAACTAAAAAATAATAAACTAAAAAACTAAAGACTAATAATATAATATATATAAAATATAAAACTAATAATCATAATAATAGAATATAAAAATATAAAGCTAAAGAATCTGCTACAGAAAAAGAAAAATGATTGGTGTAACTAATATAACGTCATTAAAAAAAAATTTAAATATCATCATAAATATTTATATTATTATAAATAATATAAATAAGTAAACATTAGTAAGTAAGTAAATAGTACACATTTTCAATAATCAGATAACTATATAAATATTTATATTATTTATAATAATATAATAATATAAATATTTATTATAATAATATAATAATATAAATATTTATATAGTTATCTGATTATTGAAAATGTGTAATATTTACTTATTATCAATTATTAATAATTATTAATAATTGCTTATTATCATTATATAAATAACACAAATAATTTATTTAGCATTGACGCTTACTAGTACATACGCCAATGCATCCCGAATAGTTAGGCGCCATCGCACACGCAACTAGGGTTGCGCAACTAAAAGGGTTAACTTTCATCGTCGAGTGTGTATTACGAGAAACAACGGTTAAAATCAGAATAAACGCTCGTTGTTTCTATGAAGCGACGTTGCAACAGCAGCTCTCCGCGCTTCGTAAGCCTAGTCCGAATGTCGCGAGTCCGACAATTTCTCGAGAATTTTTAACAGCAAGCTTTTACCGAGCAGAACGAAGTTAACCGATGTGTTTCCGCTTTGGTAGAATCGCTGCGCCGCAGTTCACTCGAACCNGCTATTGAAAATGCGTAATATTTACTTATTATCAATTATTAATAATTATTAATAATTGCTTATTATCATTATATAAATAACACAAATAATTTATTTAGCATTGACGCTTACTAGTACATACGCCAATGCATCCCGAATAGTTAGGCGCCATCGCACACGCAACTAGGGTTGCGCAACTAAAAGGGTTAACTTTCATCGTCGAGTGTGTATTACGAGAAACAACGGTTAAAATCAGAATAAACGCTCGTTGTTTCTATGAAGCGACGTTGCAACAGCAGCTCTCCGCGCTTCGTAAGCCTAGTCCGAATGTCGCGAGTCCGACAATTTCTCGAGAATTTTTAACAGCAAGCTTTTACCGAGCAGAACGAAGTTAACCGATGTGTTTCCGCTTTGGTAGAATCGCTGCGCCGCAGTTCACTCGAACCGTCCGCCATCTTTGTTACAATGTTCGCTCGGATCGCGAGATTCGCTCGGTCATTTTCCATGGAAGACTCCTGAAGGAATTTCAGCGATTTCGAAATAAAGAACGCGAAACCGGAAATATTTCAACCGACAAGAATAGGCACTGTGTTACTTTCCCTCTGAAAATCCTGTAAAAGAGTCGTACAGAAACGAAGTCAATTACCGTAAATTCTCCCGAATTTTCCTTCAGCTCGCAAACAAAAATGTCGGCTAATTTCTATAGTTGTTGACTATTAACGCTAAACCTACCGCGGTCAAAGTGACCGCTTTCTTATTTTGCAATTCCGCAAAGTTCCGACACTCTTTCTTTCGTGGAAAACGCTTGAATAAGTTATATTATCGCAGCAAGTTTTACAATAAAAACTTCACAAATTCTAAACAAATTCGGTCTTTCCACTTTTGTGAAGCAGTACATGCCCAGTTAGTATTATTACTGCTTGGCAGGTTTAGCGTTAATAATTTATAAAAACCAAGGCGCAGAGTTCGAGTCCATTTTTGTTTACAAACCGAAGGAAAAAAATTCGGAAAATAATTGACTGCACCGCACGTAATTTTCTAGAGAACGTCTCGAACGTCTCTCATCGCTGGAATCGAACTTTTTACGCGTCGGCTCCTCGCAAGCACGAGGGATCCCCTTCTCGAGCTGATAAGAGCGTTTCCGGCCGGCGTTTCCGGCAGGACTTTGGTCGATCGCGGCTCGCGGCATCGATCGGCGGATAGACGGGAGAGAATCCTCGGCAGAGCGCGCGGGCCTAATCGTTTCGGATCGACCGGGATGCAAGACGGCGCGCGTAGAGCGGCGTCGGGGGATCGTAATTGTAGATTCCAACGAGTCAGCTTTCTCGTTCGATCCCGTCGTGTGTACGCGCCGCGGGTGCCACCCACGACGCCGTGCCCCCGTTCCACGAAGGAAAGGAAACGTTGTGATCCTCGAGCGGACGTCCCGCGTCTTCGAGACCGCCGGGTGCCGCTTTAACACGGTGAGAAAAACTAGACGAAAGCGTTGGGAAAAGAAAGAGGAGTCGCGTTTCGGCAAACGCCTGAGAAAGAAGTATCGGACGCGCGCGCGCGAGCGAGCCAGCGAGCAGCTCTTTAGGGCCGGCACGGTCCCTTCGGCGAAGCTTTCCCACACGGCCCCTAACGTTTTTCCCTCCCCCTCCAGAAAACCGATAACCGGTTTTTCTCCCAATTTCATCGGCGATATTTACGAGCCCCGTCGGCGAGCTCCGCTCTCCCCCCCCCCCCATCGGGTTTCTGTGAAAAACACATGACATCGGTATGCGTTCGTCACTCGAGAGTAAACACTTGTATCTAATCAATGGCCGTTCGGTCGGTCAGCTTGCGACAGAACTACCGTTCTTGTCTTCCTCTCTCGCTCTCTCTCTCTCTTTTTGTTAGTCTTTGCTCGATCGCTCGATGAAAATAAAGTGTGCGCGCGCGGAACGCGGTGTGGTCGACGGCCGTCGCATCGAAAAATGGTCAGCCGCGCGTACAGAAATTCGGTTCCTCGTCCTCGCGTGTCACGGAACACGTCTCGGAGGCACAGCAGGCCCCAAAGCAGCGCGCCGACGGTGGCAGAGGCGAGAGAGAACCACCACGGTCGGTACGTGGTTACAGGTCTGTTTGGCGGTGAGCGGTGGCGGTCCACTTCTGAGAACTAACGGGTCTGTTTCGTCCCCTCTTTCGATCTCCGTCTCGCTCTCCCTCCTTCTCTCTCTCTCACGCCGCCCCACTCCATCTCGCTCGCTCCCCCCGTTTCTCTCTTTCCTCGATCCCACCCTTCGTCCGACTCTCTACCACCCGCGGTAACGCATCGCAACGCTCATACGTGTACACGGACGCGCAGGGGGAACAGGCACACAAAGCGAGCCGTGGAGCGGGGTGGGGAGGGCAGAGCGACGAGCGGGGAGGCTGATCGTGTGGGTGCGTGCATTGCGCCTGCGTGAGTGCGTGTAAGCGTCGAGAGCCAGCGCGAGAGAGCGCGCGGTGTGTGCGCGCGGTCTCGCTGGTTGCCGCCGCTGCTCGGTGCGCGGTGCGCGGCGCGCGTCTGCGCATCGCCGTGAGTGTGACGCGCCACCGTTCACTCTCAGTGTGGTGCGAGACGTACCGTGGTGCGGTTGTCGTCGTTAGTCGTCCTCTGGTTTCTGGGAAGTGTGTGGACTTCCAACCGAGAGAACGAGAACTAGAGAGAGAGAGAGAGAGAGAGAGGAGGGACCCCTCTCTCGACGCCGCAACTCCCCTCGTGGGCCAGTACATTCGCCGCGAGCGTGGCGAGAACGCGTGTGCGCGAGTAGTGCGTCGTGTCCGCCTCGAAGCTGGATAACAAACGTATCCCGCATGCGACGCGGATCGTGTCAAGGGCGGGACACGCGCGTATCCGCGCGAGCGAGAGTTATTGGTGTTGTTTGTAGACGAGAATACGGCGGCCGAGGCTCGTTCTCGGCTCGTACGGCCGCCGAAAACGGGGAGGTTATATATAATACTACACACACGCGCGCGCGCGCGAACAAGAAAAACTCGTGCCGACGACCAGCCACGGCTCTGTGGTGTACACGATGGTCGTCGTCGTGGTCGTTTACCGCGCGGCTACACGACGAGCACCGTGCTGCAACCACGTGGCGAAGAAAGCAACAATTTTCGGAGCAACCGGTGCGACGACGCTGCTGCTGCGAGGACAACGACGCGTCGAGGATGAGCGCAACGGCGTCAGCGTCGGAAACGCGCCGCGCGGCTGCGATGCCGCGTAACCCTCGGCCTCGGCCGGAAACTGCCGCGCCGCCGGTCTCGCTGGCTCGCGTCTTGCGCTCCGCTACGATTTTATTTATGGCGGCCGGCGGATCGCGCGTTGTCGCCGACACGTAAGAACCAAGGGAAACGACGACGTGCCACCGGATACGGGGCGAGGCGATTACGCGGATCGAGGAGACCGAGCGCACCGCTCTTCGGAGCGGTCCGGTGCGACTGTACGGGAAAGAAGCGTAGAAACTGGAATCAAAAGAAGGAGAGAGGAAGAGAGCGAGAGAGAGAGGGAGTGAGAAAGGAGCGATGAGGAAGAATGAGAGGTGCGTACACGCCCCCTAAAAACGCATTAAAAGGAGTAACGACGAGCAGCGTGGCTTTAACCGGTAATTGGACCATTCTTTTTGCCATTGAGGTAGTAATGGCCCTTGTAGCGTGGTCACGCTACACTACGGTGCGCCATAGTACTATAGAGACTTCCGGCCCGTCGCAGGAAGTGAGACACACGTGTTCAGGCGTGTGTGTTCCCATAATACGGGCCCCGGCTCCTCCTCTACAGCGCGCTACAAGTTCGATGGCCCGTACGGGAAGCAGGCGAGCAGCAGCGACGCGACCCGAGGCACGCCACCACGCACACACGTGCACACGCGTGCCGCCGCGCACGTAGACGCGCCGCGCACACACACCGATGCGGACGGCGGGCGCGCGCGCCCGCGCGCAGGATATATTACCGTTCGTTCGGGGAAACGTGAACAGAGGAATTGTGTTGGAAACGTCAACGATCGAACGGACCTCGGCTATTAAACTGCTGCATCCTTGTCTGCCGTCGCCTGCAAAGTACGTACCAAACCACAAAGCATACAACGATCTTTTTATACGAATATTTTACGCGAATCGATTCAGCCGAGTCGGCAACGAATTCTCGTATTTTAATCTCTTTTGTCTTCGCGCAAAAGGATCGAAGAAATTCTTGAACGAGCCCACACGCTCCGGCGGCCTACTCGATCGGTCGGTTGCTTGCTTGCTCGCGCGCGCGCGCGCACTCGCTCGCTCACGCTCGGCTAACTGGCGCGGGCACGCTGGCCGCGTTCTCTCGGCTGGCCTATTATTCCCACGATTTAGAAAAACGAGCGTGTTATTTATCGACGGATCTCGTTAACCTCTCCCCTCCGCCGTTAACCAAGCCATCCGAAATTCAAATGGCGCCGCACACGCCTGCGTTCGCGCGCGCGCCGCGAGCTCTCTTATTATGAATGAATTTTCGGCGTTACATTCATATTTCCTGTGCCAACGTGTACGCCCGCGCAGCCAGCCCCGGCGGCCCCCCCAGTGGCTCTCAATCCGGCCGCGCGGTCGGGCTAGAGAACCCGGGGACGACGCGCGATCGCGATCGAACGAAACGGGAAACCGTCGTTTCGTGCCGCGGCGAATATAACTGCTTGCGTAACATATGAATAATCGCGAGGCTCGTACAGTTACTTTCAATGGCGAGTGTACGTACCCCCCCGTGCAACAACGGCATCGTCGCATTCCTGAATGCCGATACGCTCCTTTCCACGTCTTTGCCGATATCTCTGCGTCACCGATCTCCGCGCCAGCGAATCATCGTCCCCGGATTCTATACGGCCGACGTTCGAAATAACGAAAATTGGATTTTCCGTCCCGCTTCGCGTTCGATTGCCAATGGATTCGCGGTACAGATATGTTACCGTGTGTTGAACAGCACGGCGGAGTAACGGCGTCTCTTCGGCTCTATCCGGTTCTATTCGTTGCAAAGGTTATATTTAATTATCGAAAATTCGACCGAGTCGTTTAATCAATTAACTCGTCGATTAATTTGTTGCTAATACGGCCGCCGGTTTTTTCGTCGTTGTCCGTCGTGTGCTTTTCGTTTTTTTTTTCTTTTTTGCTTGTCCCAGCGTTACGCGGAACGGCGTCGCGTCGCGTCACACTCCACGAAATCGAAAACCGTAAAATCATTTGGCCGTGAATCCAACGAAGCGTCGTCGGCGCCGGCCGTACGAAAGAGTTCGGGAGCCGTGTGTCTCTCGGGGGCACTTCGATCGACGCCGATTCTTACCGTTTTTATTTACGACTTTTTGGTTATGTCTACCGGGCGATGCCGCGCGCGAACGGCGTGAACGTCCTGAATGCATGTGTCGTGTATGCAAATTATTCTCCCTTCTGCACGTTTGAAAACCGACAGAACTTACCGCGGTAGACCTAATAGTTGGGTCTTCTCTCGATTGCGGACTGTAGTGGAGGTTCGCTCGAGGACAGGTATACCGGTGGAATGCCGTCTTCGGGGCCGTTCGCACCGTGCCTTCTCGGGAAGCGCGAGAGCAACGGGGGTTAAAGAATTCGTGGCGGGAATTTTGAACGGGACGACTCGCTGCTCCGTCGTTGTTACGGTGTTACGAAATCGGCCGAATCTGTGCTTCCGGCGCCGATGTTGTTCGATATTCTTAACTTTGGTCTTCGTTCCGTCGGTGCTGCCGAAGTTCAGTCGATCGAAGGGTCTAATTAATATTGAAGAAGAATCTACTTTCGAATACCTTTATATATTAATTATTATATATATTATAATAATAATTATAATATATTTTATTATAGTTTTATTATTATAATAATAATTATTGTAATAAATAAATAATAAATAAAAATTGTTCGCGTCAATTTGCAAGACATAGAAATTGGACACAATCTTTCCCCCTTTCTTCAACAATTTTACCAAGTCCAAATTAACGTTCTCAGTTCATATTAACATTTCGACTGTTTTAAATCGCGTCTACTCACCTATTACCACGAACGCGTAACATCGATCTTTATTAGCTTCTTCAAATCTTTCTCAATCTTCGTCGACGTTTCAATCACCGTATTAAATTATAATCCACAAAAATAATTACATAATAATAATATTATTATTATATAATTATATTATTATAAAATTATAAACTCGTAAAATCCACGGTATAATTTGCTACAACGTGGACAACATTTTCAACGTTTCCACGTTTCGCGGATCGACGTGAAGTTAGAAGAAGATACGATCGGCGGACGAACGAATTTTCACGCAAGATGGCGCGGCAGGCGAAAAAGTGTTACGCGGCGAATCAATGAAACTTCATTGATAAAAATTAGCGCGATGATGGATAATCATCGAGGAAAAGGATCCATCGTCGAAAACGAGCTTGAGTATTTTCGAAGGACGCTGATTATATTGTTAGAGTAGTCGTATAAAAAAAAAAGGAGGAGGAGAAGGAGGACGATCGAGAGGCCCGAGAGACAGAGGCGAACGACGACGACGACGACGACAGGGCTCTCTCTGAGAGCCTTCTTCTCAAGTTCATCGCTCCCGCGCATGTGCAAACACGCGGGCGAATAACACGAGGCATTCATGTGCCCTTTCTCCGCATTATTGTCGGCGGTCGCGCGTTAGTGGGACCCTTCTCGACCTTCTGCCGCCTCCCCTTACGAGACGACGACGACGTTCCCGCCCTCCTGTGGGAAGATATACGATAGTACCCACGTTACCCGACGAGGACATCCACTCGGCTTCCCTTGGCCGCTCCATTCGCTTCGATTTCTTCTCGCGGTCGCGACCGTTTCCTCTCTCTCTCTCTCTCCTGCTCTCACGCTCTCTCTCTCTCTCTCTTTGCCGCACTCTCTCTCCCTCTCACGCTCTCTCTCCTGCTCTCCCGCGCGCTCTCTCTCTCCTGCTCTCTCGCCCTCTCTATTGCTCTCTCTCTCTCTCTCTCTCTCTCTCTCTCTCTCTTTCGCATTCTACGTAAGAGTAGTCGCTGGTCGCGCGATCTCGGCTCGGTTCCGCTCGAAAACCGTGCGCGCGCTCGCTTCGTCTCGTTCCCTTCGGCTCGCTCACTCGCTCGTTCGCGCGCGCTTCGTCTCGTTTTCTGGGATTCTCCGCGTCAATAAAGAGTCACGCGCCAACAGCTGTGCCGGTGCGAACGGCGCTCGCGATTTACGGCCAACCGATTTCCTCCGGCCGCTCATTCCGAGAACGAGCGCCGGCTCAAAAACGGCCGCGTCCCGGGGTATTTTCGGCCGGGCTGATTAAATACGTGATCGTGGTTAGCGTGCCGGCAATAAAAGCGTCGCGCCACGTCGTGTTTACGGCTGGGCCGACCGACCGTCCGTCCGTCCGTACGTCCTGGCATCGTTCGGCTCGCTCCTCGTACACTCTCGCGGCCGCGTTTGATCGCTAAATTATTTCGTGCTTCTCGCCCGAGGAGAGCCGCCCTCCCCCCACTCCCCCACGCACATACACACTCGCGTCCGCGTTCCCCGCCCTTCCGATGCGAATTTCGAGACCCCGCGGTACGTGCTCGCGCGCCAGCCCCAGACGCGACGCGCGCGCTGCTCTATTGCGTCTACTCCGGCGTCCCGGCGTGCCTCTGTCCACGACGGCGGCGGCGGTGGCCCTCCTTGCTTTTCCTCGTTCCGAGACGCGGCGGTCGGAAAACGGGACCGCGCCGAGAGCAAATAGAATCCGGGCGTCGCCGAACAAACGGCCGCGCGCGGTTTTCAGACGTGTTCGAACTGGCGCGGCGCGAACGGTGTGTCCGGTTTTCATTGACGATGCGCGCAAAATTGGAATGTACTTTTCGTGGACGCGTTTGTCTGTTCGATGCCCAATGTCGGCTTCTTCTTGCACCCCTCCTCGTCGATGATAAATCAATATTTTTGCGAATATTTTCCGAGGTAATTTGTTCTTTCGAAAAATAGAAAAATGCTTAGAACACGCTGCGACGTTAATTTTGTTCAAAGTTCGCACGATTATTTGGAATAAAATCGCCGCAATTTTTCTTCAGCTTGTTAACGAAAATGGATAATTTGGGAGGGGAAGTTACGATTATTCGAGCCTCGCGACTCATTTTTATAGGTGCCGATTGTCGACAATTATGAAAACGAGTTGCCTTTTTGTTTACATTTTTTTTTAATTAGGAAGTATTTTTTTATTATTATCATTATTATTATGATTATTATTATCACGATTATGATATTGTCATTATTATGATTACCATTATCACGATTACGATATTGTCATTATTATGATTACTATTATCACGATTATGATATTGTCATTATTATGATTACTATTATCATGATTATGATTATTGTCGTTATGATTACTATTATCACGATTATGATATTGTCATTATTATGATTACTATTATCACGATTATGACTATTCTTATTATCGATATTATTTTATTCACTGCATTCGAATTGACTAAATCCCAGTATGATATATAATTCTCTCTACAAAATCGATCGAATTACACACATCGATTTAACGGTATTTATCGTGCCCGATATTCGGGCGCTCGACGCGTTAAATATTTAAACGCCCGGCGGAACGGAACGTTCCGCGAACGTCGAATAACAGTCGCGGTTCAACGGGTGGCCACCGTTGGGAACGATCGTCGCGAGTCCGAGTACCGATCGAAGCGTACGAGGAAAACATGTACGAGAGAATCGATTCGGGACGGGTCGGTTTTGCGTCGCGTTCGCAGAGCGAGAGCCCTCCGTAGGACCGCGCGACGTACGTACGTACGCGTACCTCTTCCTCGTTCTGGCAAGAAATAATTGCGCAAGTGGCAGCAGATTGAAACGGTCAACCACCGCCCATCCTCGGTTGCGCACGCTCTTCCCGACGGTCCCGAACGGATAACATGCGCGCACGCACGCACGCAGGCAAGCCAGGCAGGCAGCGACGACGGCGGCGGCGGCGGCGGCGGCGGCGGCGTACTCGACATTCCATTCAAGCATGGCCGGGCGGTGCTTAATAATCTCAGACTCGCGAAGCAATTATTCGA